CATTTTATATTATGAAACAAAGCAGAACCAATTCTTTTAATTTGTTTTATTAGTTTGAAATGAGGAATGCATGTGTAAAGGGTAAAAATGTCAAATGTTTTAATACTATTACAAGAGGAAAGAGACTTAGATTGTATGTACTCTAACAGATCTTTGGAAATTTTAAGTATCCACATCTGTTTCACACCGCCTCTAGATAAGGTAGTTTCACAGTAACTTTTAAGCCCGGATTTGATTGCTTATAAAATTGTTGTGAATAATCTACAAAAAGGTTTCGCGGAGCACTCGGAAGACCCAGTAGTATGACGTTGTTTGTAAAGACTCTTATGTTATTTGGGTATTGCGTTTTGAAAGAACACCACCAAATCTTCTAGTAAAAGCCTTGCTGACGGAATTGCACGCAAACAAAAATCCATAATCCTTATAATTTACTTTAGTTCCTTCAATTTTATCATTTTAACAACAAAAGAAACGAAGTACACAAACAATGGGAACAAATATTAGGCGGACCTTATAATTCTATGATTTTGTGTTGCTTTCATACGGCATGTGTTTCTTCCATACGAATTGAAAGAAAAAGTGAAATAAAAAAAATACCGAACTCCGAGGAAAATTCAAAACGGAAAGTCCCTAATCAAATGGCAAAATCAAAAGCTCAAACACATCAAACGAATGGATAACAACTGTCATATTCCTGACTTGGTACAGGCATTTTCGTATGAAGAAAATGATGGATTAAACCTGGTTTTATAGCTAACTAAACCACTCACTTGTATGACAGTCACATACAATTCCATTATATTGACAACAATGTTTGAACAAAACAAACAGATGTAATAGGTAAAATTGTCAAAAATAGGGGTACAGCAGTCAGCATTATCTTATAATCTTAGTCACAATAAAAATAAACAGATATGTCAACAAAGAAAATTGAATTGCAAGAACATACTGGAATAAACGAGTCGTCTTTCAGTAAATAATAGATCAGCATTTGTATAAATTGAACACATACTGTAAATATAATTTTGTAAATTAAAGAATAAACCCTCAAATTTTAAAAACTTGAATTGCCATTTTGAAAATAAATACAACTTCATTTGACAATCCATTAAATAGTAGTAAATCGGTCAGTTTGCACGTACAGTATACGTATGTGTTACAAATGTAAGAATTTTTAAAAATCCCTAAAAATGATTTCTCCAAGACGCAATCTTTATAGTAATTTGGTTATCAGTTACCAAATGTGTTAGGAGTTTACACAAACCTTATTTAATAAAAAAAATGTAAAAGAAGGGATAAAGTGTATGCATTCTTGATAGATAATCCATACTTGCAGTAGACAAAACTAAAAGCAAAGACATCTTCATCTCAAAGTAATGGCGAGGTCTTTAACGTTAAGACGTACAAGATATACCTATTTCCGATTTTCTAAATCCTGCTTACAGCAATATTCTTTTGTCGATCGACACCAAGGAACTTACTTTGATAGTAAATAATTACAAAAGTTTTCGGTTTGTCTAAAAATTCATAGGTTATTTAGATAAGTAGTTTCTTAGCGCGGAATTTAATTTATTTTGTATGCGCATTCAGCAAGGACGGCTGGATGTAACACTTTTTTTTTATATTTTATGCAAAATTTTCACAATTTTCATTTCCATGTACAAATACAGTTGTTTTCTGTCAAAAGTAAAATAACAAAATTACCAAACCCCAAAGGAAATTCAAAACGGAAAGTCCCTAATCAAATGGCAAAATCAAAAGCTCAAACACATCAAACGAATGGAAAACAACTGCCACATTCCCAACTCGGCACAGGCATTTCCCTATGTAGAAAATAGTGGATTAAACCTGGTTTTATAGCTATCTAAACCTCTTACTTGTATGACAGTCGCATAGAATTTCATTATATTGACAACAATGTGTGAGCAAAACAAACAGACATAATAGGTAAAGTACCGCTTCTTGTGACCTGAGTCCCCTCAACAGTTTTATAAGATGGAATATGATTCATCTAGATGCAAACCTCGGTACATATTGTTTCGACGGCTGTTTTTCTAAATGATAAACATGTTGAAGGAAGTTTGATTTATTAGTCTCTAAATTCTTAAGTTCAGTTATATGAATTGATACAAAACATCGTGTATAATTTTAATACAAACTTTTTTTATATCAAGTTATTTTTTTATTGCAGTACAGAACTAGTCTTGAGCCAGAAAACCAGACAAAGGAGGTAATCTATACAACAAATGACACAACGTTTGTTGACAACATAGCAAACATATCTAAATATACAGACAATATGGAAACCATTGTTCTCAACTTTACAAATGGCAGCACCATAGTTAAAAATGGTAATTTCTAAAGGTTTTCTTAGTCCAGATTTTCATCTGGTAAAGCTTTATAACTATATTAAAGTTTCCGGAATCAATATATTTGGGTGACTGTTTGATTGATCTTTGCTAAACAAGTACATACTGGAGACACATAATTGTTTTTTCCCCTTATCTCAATAATACATTTAGTCAACTAAAATATGTGACTCTTTTTTATACTCAATTACCGAAGGTGATTTTCAGTCATCACCATCGTGTTATTACGGTGTAACACGAATAAACAGAGGAACAAGAACTATCTCCTCACAGAAATGCTTACAATCCAAAAATCATCAATTTGATGTGGATCAGATATTGAGGATATATACAACATTTTTTTTACTATTCATTCTATCTAAATGAAAGGGTTCCCATCTTTAATAATCTCAGCTGGCTTTCTACAGGTTGCAGTTTAGATAAAATTTGCAATATTTTGGTTGGTCTTTCCTGCAATGTGTTACGAAATTGCGACTTTTTCGTTGTTATTCTTTACATCTAGGTCAGTGATGACTTTCAAAGGTGGTCGATCATAAAGGACACTTGCAACGGTGATTTGTGATATCTTAAATGATATACAAAACACTCAAATGTTACACCTTAAAATATTCTTTTTGTGCGTCCAAAACAGCTTGGAAACTGATTGAACAGTTGGGTTCAGGACATAATATTCTCATCACGGTAAGCGGACTTATACTGGAAGTAAATCTTACGAAATGGAAAACATTTTACCCGAATTTTCATTTTACCTTAAGAAAAATAGATTTCACCGCCAAAGAGAAATTGCTGTTGATTAATATTAACACTCGTTATTTAATTTCAATAATACTAAAATGTTCGCCAATCAGTTAGGATTCTACTTCGTCAAAATTATCTCCCCATTACGCCAGCTATTTTTACGATCGTAAAAATTGAAGCCATTGTAGGGACGACGCGCTCCAATTTAGCTCTTAAAAACCGATATATTTATCCACATAGCACCATTATGATCCTTATATGCCAGTTGTATTTTAAAAGATAAATGTATCTACTAGCTAATGAGCATCATTTAATGTACTTTTTGCATTTAGTCAACTTAAAACTATTGCCTGATCGGTTGTCAGGGGGTATTTTCGAAAGTTCAAAAACATTTCAAAAAATTCTAAATAGATATTTCGTGGAAGGGCAGACTAAACATTTTCAGAGGTTGAAAACAACACACACAAAAAATGAAGTTTTTTTTATGTTATGCATTTTTAAGATCCAGTTGTTAAGTCTGTCGTTAAGTACTTTTAGTAAAAATTTGTTATTCGAACATACCTACTCTGTTGTTATGACTCATTAGAAAGGTATTTCAGTTGATCCATATATTTCATTTCTTAGTATCGTGAATTTTAAATGTTATGAAATCAACTGGTAGCCTAAATATATAAAAATATTAGAATCTGAAGCGAGACGATGTATCAAATATTTTTGCTTTGAACGTTTTCAAGACAGAAAAGTCAACTCAAACACGCACGAACACAAAAAGGTGTACTCGACTTTCTCTTTCGGTGAAATTATTGCACATCTTTAGGATTGTTTCCCAAAAACTATCGCCGGGGCAGACTTAATGCTTTGAAAAGATCAATCTATTATCTTACTGTGCATTTTTTTTTCGGCGGAATTTATGCTTATGCACAAAAAAAGATCAACATGTATTTGCACCTACCCCTATCGACTGATTTATGAAAATGTGTCTATAATTTAAAAGTTTACAAACATCTCGAAGCTCCATACTATAATTTAAGTAAAACACGTATATAAGATGCATAAAATCCTAAATTATGCACATTCATTAAACTTTTAAGGCCCATAGAAACAGATGTAAACAATACACCTTATCGCTATTTGTCCGCCATTACTGGACATCACAAAGGTTCCCGTAAAATTTTTACGTCACAATAGAGAGTATCTGACGCTACAATGGAGAAGTGATTGTTGTATGACGTCAATAGTTCAAGAGGCGCAGATTCTCGGGTCAAGCGGCGCAGATTTTCAAATAGCGATAAGGTCTTCGAATATACCTATTTGGCCTTTTTTACCTTCTCTTACAAAGAGTTCCATTTCTTTTGTTGAAATTTAACTGGGTATCCGCCTGCAATAGCTTGTTTGGTATTATATTGAGATTAAATAAATCAATTCTCACATGAAACCTATAATCATGAATGCTCTCTTTGGTGTTGTATTGCTATATATATTACATATTGTACTATGGAGTAGACTTTTTATGTATGTTTTACTTGTGTCCAATGCATTTGGCTTTGAGGATATAAAATATGACTATAGAACACATTCTTAAAATAATACAAGGAAATCGTTTGTCATATATTTTTTATTTCTTCCTTCGATACTTTTGGTCTATTTAACAATGTTTCACTTTTTACATAACATGAGGTTGATAAGAACTTTTATTATATTTACTAAATATTTCAAATAGAATATGCATGCATTTGAATAAGTACCAGTTCCATATGACTATGGGACTATTATATAATACTTCCATGGTATAAGAAAATGTTTACCTAAATAATATCATCTGAATGAATCTATTAATTTCTCAGATATTGGTTGTTTAGGAAAAACTTATTGATAAGAAATATTTTATTTCAGTTTTAACAAAGACAGTTGATAGTCCTGTCTCCGGAGAGACCGGACAAATTAATATCCTGGGATTAGTAGTATTCTCCGTGTTGATTGGTGTCGTTTTAGGTCGAATGGGACACAAAGCCAAACCTATTGTTGATTTCTGTACCTGTTTGACAGATGCATCAATGAACCTTTTTATTGTTTTTATATGGTTTGTATCAAATAAAATCTTTTTATAACTTGCTGTAAAATTTTCTATTAATTAATTTGTATTACGAAGAAGAAATGCACTATAACGTCCTTAAAACAAATCTTTATTCCATGATAAAAAATACGTGGACTTCTATCGTTCATCAGTAAGACCAATGTTGTAACGGAATGTATAATTGCTGGTGTTAAGGGCTATTGATGTTGTTATTCGAAGTATTGGTAGTTATGGGAGGTATAACTGGTGGTAGGGCGATGATGCTGTTATAGGAGGTATTGCTGGTGATGGGGCGATGATGTTGTTATAGGAGGCATTGCTGGTGATGGGGCGATGATGTTGTTAGGGAGGTATTGCTGGTGATGGGGCGATGATGTTGTTATAAGAGGTATAACTGGTGATGGGGCGATGGTGTTGTTATAAGAGGTATTGCTGGTGATGGGGCGATGATGTTGTTATAGGAGGTATAACTGGTGATTGGGCGATGATTTTGTGATAGGAGGTATTGCTTGTGTGGTGTGTGTCATTGGGTAGCTGCAAATGTCGGATTGGATTCTAGCCCAGATTACCTATTTTTATATTGCAAGGCAAGATTTCTATTCCAGTCCAAATTTACAGTCCTTATTCTCTGTCAACTCAGTTTGATTAACTCTATAATGTGACTCGTCCTGAATAAGCCGTGAATCTTTGAATATTAAGATGTATTTTCTGTTCACAATGTTGTACAGTTTGTCTGTTTAGATATGCAATAGTATTGAGCATGTAACCTTGCAAATACATGCACGTAATATAGGTTTGGAAATTAGAATATGCAGTTACATTTTATTAATCTATTAACATCTAGCAAAACAAACAGACAAGAAGTGTAAACTATTGTTTAAATACACGAACTAAAGGGTGACATAGTCAACAATTGAGCTCGGCCTGCAATAAAAAATCTGACAAATGAATTATAAATTGTAAGCCGGTTAGACTAAATGCAGTATAAGGAACACTCAGAGCCGAAAAGTTTGGAAAACCAATTGAATAATGATAACTACTGGAACAGCAAATCCCCCAAAAAAGCAAAGCAATTTGGACATCAACTGTGCTGAAAAAGAGACACACATTTTGTAAAAAAATGTAATTTTTACACATTTAAAATCAAATTTTCTTCTACTGGTGTTCTGTTTTCTTTTTTCATTTGTTTCCTATATTTTTGTTTATTTGCATAACAGTACAACAGCTCTTGTAGTTGTGTAGTTTATATTAAGTCATTTATTTTCAATAGATGTAGCCCAACACCAATTGCAGGTTGAAAGTTCTCTTAAAGAAAGTATTATGTATTCGACCTACTTTTCTGTGGATTCAATTTGAACATTAATCCCCGGCAAAAGAAATTAGTTGTCTTCGATTTTGAAATAACAAAGTGATCTGAAATACACTATTGGCTATATATTTGAATTTTCGTAAAATGCCGATTCCAGTTTAAGTGAAATTTCCTTACAAAGCGGTTGCAAAAGTAAGAGAGTACTGCCATCCAATACAAAGGAAATTACAATCTATAACAATCAGTTTTATAATCGTAAATATATAAGATATGATGTTGCTTATCAAATATTTAACTGGGCTTTTATTTTGGTAGTGATTGGGTTACCGTTAAATTTATCTTATTCAAATGATGCTAGTGATGATAGTGATGTTTCTGATGGTGATTTTGTTGCTTTTAGTGGCGATAGTGATGTTGGTTTTAGCAGTAGTAGAATATTGTGATGCTGAATATGATAGTGTTCTTAGTAGTAGTGTTTATGATGTTATGGGAAGAATTGCTGTGGTTATGGCGATGATTTTGACTAATATTTGGGGAATTGATGGGTTATGGCAATTATTTTGTTGTAGGAAGAATTGGTGTGGCTATTACGATGATGTAGTTACGGGGTATATTTCTAGTGATTGGGGCTATGATGTTGTTATAAGAGATATTGATTGTGGTGAAGCGATGATGTTGTACAAGGTATTGCAAGTGTTTGGACCTATGATGTTGTTATACGAGGTATTTTTGTTTGATGGTGGGGCGATAATGTTGTTGTAGGAAGAATTGCTGTGTTTATAACGCTGATGTTGTTACGGAATGTATAATGGCTGTTGTTTAAGGTTATTGATGTTGTTATACGAAGTATTGCTGTTGATTGTGCGATGATGTTGTTATTGGAGGTATTACTGGTGGTGGGGCGATGATGTTGTTATAGGAGGTATTGCTGGTGGTGGGGTGATGATGTTGTTATAGGAGGTATTGCTGGTGGTGAGGCGATGATGTTGTTATAGGAGGTATTGCTGGTGGTGAGGCGATGATGTTATTATAGGAGGTATTGCTGGTGGTGGGGCGATGATGTTGTTATAGGAGGTATTGCTGGTGGTGGGACGATGATGTTGTTATAGGAGGTATTGCTGGTGGTTGGGCGATGATGTTCTTATAGGAAGAATTGCTAAGGTTATAACGATGATGTTGTTACGGAATGTATAATTTCTGGTGTTTGGGAACACATTTTCAACTGAGTCAAAGCTGATTTTTGCATTAAAAACTAGTTATTAAATAATTAATAGGTTGAATGATCGAGAGACTTATAGAGGAGAAATGAGTCTCCCAAAGTAGTTTAATAATACTTCATTCCAAAAGCAAATACAGCGTATAGGATACATGAATATACTGATATCAATTTTATATGCACTAAAAGTAAGAATTTTCACAAAAACTTATTAAGGTTAAACAATATATTAATATAAAAATGTTACAATACAACACTATAAATTATACATAAAACTCGACATCTCAGTATTTACCTATCTCAAGTTCTGTTTAATTCGTTTATAATTTCTTAAAATTTGTTATTTCAAAGTACAATAAAATATTATATTTGCAGGTATTCTCCAATTGGAATAGCGTTTTTGATTGCTGGGAAGATAGTAGCAATGGAAGATTTCGGCATCCTTCTAACACAGGTTGGGTTATATTTCCTGACTGTGTTGATAGGCCTAATGATACACGGAGCACTAGTACTTCCTGCTTTATTTTTTATATGCACACGGAGAAATCCTTACAAATTCATTTACGGAATTCTACAAGCAATGGCGACTGCATTTGGAACATCGAGCAGGTAATTTTAGTTAGGTGAAATGTGTATATTTTGTACTTTACGTACAAATATATATTTTGGCGTTACTATTGATTCATTTATAGGGTCTTTGCATCGGCACTAAACACATTTATTTAAAAACCAGTTGTTGGCATGACACGGGTTATGTTCTTCTCATATATGTTATGATGGTATGATACTAAACCCCTAACGGGAAGGATTGTGCCTGATATTCATATGATGAAGACATAATCTTTCAATCAGTTTAATTGAAGTCTGGAGCTGGCATGTCAGTTAACTGCTAGTAGTCTGTTGTTATTTATGTATTATTGTCATTTTGTTTATTTTCTTTGGTTACATCTTCTGACATCAGACTCGGACTTCTCTTGAACTGAATTTTAATGTGCGTATTGTTATGCGTTTACTTTTCTACATTGGCTAGAGGTATAGGGGGAGGGTTGAGATCTCATAAACATGTTTAACCCCGCCGCATTTTTGCGCCTGTCCCAAGTCAGGAGCCTCTAGCCTTTGTTAGTCTTGTATTATTTTTAATTTTAGTTTCTTGTGTACAATTTGGAGTTTAGTATGGCGTTCATTATCACTGAACTAGTATATATATTTGTTTAGGGGCCAGCTGAAGGACGCCTCCGGGTGCGGGAATTTCTCGCTGCATTGAAGACCTGTTGGTGGCCTTCTGCTGTTGTCTGTTCTGTGGTCGGGTTGTTGTCTCTTTGACACATTCCCCATTTCCATTCTCAATTTTATATATATATATAAAAAATACCTATTGTATATTGCCGCATGACTACAGTATATAGTGATTGAATTTGCTTAGAAAATGTTTGAAAAAGACCAATAATTTGTTTCCCCATTTAATTCTGGGTTTCATCGAGATCTTGTCAGATGTACCCTTTACTATTGTAATTTTTCTTCTTTAAATAAGGATACTAGTATGTACTCGTACTTGCGGATTAAAGCTTCTTATTGTAGAATGAAGAAAATATTGATGATTTTAATTGTTGCCTGTGCTACTGTTTACTCTCTGTAGCTGAACCAATCATGATTATGTCTATCAATATTAAACCCTGTGATAAAAAGGTCAAACAATGAAGGCAAGAATGTGAAGAGATATTTTGCAGTATTATGTCTTGACAAAAATTTAGTAATCAGAGATCAAATTTTTAATACAAAGACACTTACGATGGTTAAAAATAGAAATGTTTGCATGGTTATAATAAAGGAGAAGATTATATGCATTTGTGATAGAGGTAATTAATTGACCTATTTAGTAACATATTTAACAAATTACAGGATATTTTATCTCTATGGTTCATATCAGAAAGGGATTTCAATTTAATAAGGATTAAAATGTTGTTAATTAATTTTTGAATTGAGTTGAAATCTTTAAGTTTAATTTAAATAATGTGTATCAATCAACATGATTACCGTTTTCATCATAGTATGTTGTCTTGATTCACCAAAGACTAACACGGTAAAAACAGTACTTAATATATTTTACACAAATTGTATTGAAACCATGGTCTCCAATCTTTCGAACGTAGAGCAACGCATTTATAATAGAAAAAGGACTTATGAAATAACTCTTCGAAAGTGACCTAGCTGGTGCCTAGTTTCAGTTTTAATTCTTGAACACACAAAATATACTGCCATTTTTAAACGGGAGTTAAAATATCTTCATTTCATCTTGTATGAAGAATCCACTGTTGTCGATGTCATCAAGTGCGTCTTGATTGATTGATTGATTTGTGTTTACTTTACGCCGCATCAGCACTAAAAGGCTATATCGCGACTTGAAGAAGCTAGAATAGGCAAACAAAAATTACATTAAATTCATTTATATTTTTCCGGTATTAAAAAGCTACAGATGTTAATTATTTGTTTATATAAAGTAAATTTTGCCTCAATAGAGCTATGAGATTCTAACAAATATGTACATATACTTTATGTCGCTTGGTGTTTGCCCCTTAATAATATTCATAAAGTAATAACATTCAGATTGAAAGGACTACATATCAAACAGTTTGTGGTAATTGAAGGGCACTGCAAAAATAAATGTTTTTTAATATATTATAATCTTTATCTGCTAGCTTTCTTCAAAAATACTACAAATAATTCTCGTTTCAGTTCGGCAACAATGCCAGTGACCCTCCATTGCTTGGAACATAACAATGGAGTAGACCCTCGTGTTGCTGGTTTTGTCATTCCCGTCGGCGCAACAATTAATATGGATGGAACTGCTCTATATGAAGCTGTCGCTGCGCTTTTTATCGCACAAGTCAATAATGCAGCCCTCAGCTTTGGACAAATAGTAACAATCAGGTTAGTTTTTTAATGATGAAATACTGTAACAACATGTAACCGTTTTCAATATAACGATTTACATTGTTTGTTTACATTTCAAAAATGTACTTTAAAAGTGAGTATAATGTATTTTTATTTTCTTTTTGTTGTTGATCTAAATTTCTGTTTTCATATTTATTTAAAAAAATGAAAAACTGAACAACTGATGTTTTTTTTCTCACGTAAGTTGTTTTTTAAACACATTAGCAAAGATGGAATATTAGATTTTCAATTGTCGTTCTATACTAACAAACGAAAGCTATTATTAAATTCTTATGTTTCAGCATTACCGCAACTGCAGCATCAATAGGTGCTGCTGGTGTGCCACAGGCTGGTTTGGTTACCATGGTAATTGTCCTTGCAGCAGTTGGATTACCAACCGAGGATATTACATTGATACTAGTTGTTGATTGGTTTTTGTAAGTATATAATGCAAATAAACTTTCCTAACCAATATGATGATATAGAATGATATTAGCAATCGTACGTTACATTAAACTTTATCATCATTGAATACATTTTTTTCTCTAATTCTTCGTCAATTTATCCCTTTCTGCACCCATTGTATAAAAAAAATTTAATCAACGTGTGGTTCGTTTGATCTCAGTTCTTCATTGGTTAAAATCCGATTATGACGTCGAATTTTCTTGCTTCCCTCTGAATTTCCTATTGTGACGGCATGAAAAAAGGCGACCATGCCTGATGACGTCACATAGAAAGAACACATCTTTTTGCAGATCATTCGAAAAGAAGGAATAAATTTGCCTGCGTATTGTTTGAAAATCATTAGAGAAACAGATTCCACCACCAAATCTCGTGTAATACGATATCTATCAACTCTCAGCAGTTAAATTTTAAATATTTAAAACGCTCGGCGAGCCTCGCGTTTTAAATTTGAAAATTTAACTGTCTCGAGTGGATAAATATCGTATCACACTCGATGCAGTGGTAGAATATATTTTTGTATCTCTAATTATACGTTGATATAATCAACAATGACGTTGTAACCAATTAAAGTGTAGCTTTGCTATACATTTTGCATAACAGAATGTACTTTAAACACGTTGAACACGAAATATAGCTGTTTAAAACAACAACTTTGCCAGATTTTGAATGATACAATTCATTGAATCTTCAACTTAATCAACTCTATCGACCTGGATTTCATCGATGAGTCTAATAAGAACATCAAGCAACAGAAAAGGTGCATGTCATCGTAATAAAAAATTTAAACAACAGCACTAACTAATGCATTATATTACAATGATATTGCCTTTTTACATCTAATTATTGACATTTAGAAAGGTAAAGTATGTCGAGGAATTACTATTTAATCAACATGATAGTTTTCGATCTGAATTATAAATCAGATGGAATGCTATTTTTACTGAACACTATAATACACTTTCCTTGAAAGTTTTCTTTCATCTAGTTGTAAATTATGTGTAAACTGGGTGCAAGGAAATTATACAAAAGGGTATTTAATATCAAATTTTGTCGCAGGAAAAAAGATTCTGAAGTGAAAAATAACAATCCATCGAGATTTGTACATTTAGAAAACATATTTAACAATTCGCTTAATTGTGAATAAAATGGGAAATAACGATTAAAAACCAATCAAGAGAAGGTCATTTTATCGACATGTGAACATGTTTTCAGTATGAGATATCCTAATATTCCTTTTTAGGGAAATACCTGTACCATGTCAGGAGTATGGCTGTTGTTTTCAATTCGTTCCGTTGGTTGATAACGTTTTGATTTTGTCAGGTTTTTGTTTATATTTACCTTGGAGTTCGGTATTTTTTTATACCTTTTTTAGGCAATGGGTCTAAATATATATTACTGATCAAAATCCAATTGGACACGTCATTCAGTATCGCTCAATATCTTTATTTACACAAAATTTGAAAATGTTTCTTGGCCCTTTTCGGAAAAGATTTACAGAAAATAGCTACTTTCGTTTACAAAGGAACATCTTTGTAATAGGAAACAATTATTGCATAGGTATAGTGAAGTTCTTACTGAAATAATTAAATAATTAAATCATAACTAGCAAGACGGGTGTCTTTAGTAAAGCATGAACTGGGTTCAAGTAACCATTGTATGTAGTTTTAGTTTTAGTGTTATTGCGTAATGCCTAATTTCTAATAGTCTTATAGTAGACCACCCCTAGGAGCATATAGAGAAGTATCAGGGTCGTTCTCGCGACTCGTGATAAACCTTTGTGTTTCTTATAATCAACTAAACATGGTAGAATAAATGTGACGAGGACGTCTTATATTTGTTTTATTGTTTATTGTAATAAGTTCGGCAAACTAAGTATATAGTATCTCCTGTTTGTGAAGACCATTTTATACTCAACTTTTTCTCAGCGGTTACAAACCACTTTTTCTAAATCTTAACGTTATCTTGAATTAGAATGACACAGTCACTATAGCATAGAAAATAGCCTTTAGATGTTCTAAAAAAATGTCATAAAACTATGACAATGTAATTTACACTGTTCAATCATCACCGCACTTCAAACAATGGAATAGATGATTGGACATTAGAGACAATTTGTCATGCCCTCATGAAAATGGCGTCCTATCAACGACGTTCAGTAGGCTTTCATTAAAATTATTTCACACACAAGTAACTGTATATAAAACAAATCAAAAATGAAATGAGTTCTAAATATTAATTCAATTTGTTGTTGCATTGGACATGTAATGACGCCACAAATAGAATAACCTTGAAAAATGGTTCACTAACGGTTGATAAAATGTTAGTTTGGTTTAAATGTCAAAAGGTATGTCTACTACGCGTTTAAGAACGGGCTCTATTTGGATATTTTGAGATGTTTGAGTAATGTATTTCAAATTTCACTCTGTGTTTATAAATACCATTGAAAGTACAACGTCTATCCAAAAAAAAAAAACATTGCTAGAATAAAATGAGCCACTCGTTCTCAGGTTGTGATTGAATATGTGTTTATTGTTCGTTATTTGATTTCCTGAGGTAAAAAATAGAAACGCCTTATATGTGACCCGCCATGACATTTCCAGGCTTATGGCGATAAACGTCATAATGAGAAAACTTCGATGTAATGTCACGTAACGTAATGGGGGCACCTGTTATTGAATGTCCAATTATATCATGCGGTAAAATAAAGTTTCATTTTTTTCTTGACTTGAGGAAATTTGAATCTTATATTAAGATATACAAAACAAGTAGACTTTTTTACGTAACATTAATAATTGAGGATAAAATTTATTACCAATACAGATTGAAGCATGAAGATTAAGTTTTTGGAGTAAATTTCATTGTTTTACATTGTAAGTGAAAATATGATCATATGTATGGAAATATACCAGTACATGTAAATCATGAAAGATATGCCTTCACTTTAGGACCCCAATAGTGTCTCATCCCATGTTCGTTCCTAGGTTTTTTTTTTATCTGTGCCTGTCTTAGAACTACATAAACAAGATGCATGTGTTGTTGAAAGGTTTCTTACATCCCTTTCACCTATATGCCCTAATATTATTGATCATGCTGTTTGACTGTTTTAATCTGCATTAACAGATCTTTCATGTAATCACTTTGTTAGGATACATGTACAAAATGTATAGACAATAAGATAATAGATGATCATTAGAAAGCATATCAAATAACACACAGCTCCTTGATGGTTTATTATATATCTTGGTATTCACTTTCTTAGCATTGATGGACTTTTATTAATAGAAAGAAAAATGATTTAGTCATTATTATTTAGATTGCAGATTCCGGTACATTGTTTCTATGGCAAACGAATGGTTGATATAGAAATAAAAATTCTTTAGTTATTTAGTTATTAAATTTAAAAATACATATTGATTAATTATTAAAAACTAGACCCCCTCCCCATCCCCAACCTACAAAAAAAACCCAACAAAAAACAAAACAAAGCAATATGAAAAGTTTCAAAGATAACTATACTAGATGAACATACATTTGAAAATTGAAAAAAATGATAATTTGTGATAAAATCGAAAGTATTAAAAATGATCATCTTTCTGTTATTTAGCAGAATCTAGCAAAATAACTTGTCAGGGTTTTTTTAATCTATGTATACTCCATAAAAATGAAGAAAAAAAAACTCATTTTGACCCTGGTACCTCCATATCCCTCATGGCTGGTCACATATATCTTCTCTTGACAAGAACGAAAAGTGGCGAAAACTTTCAGCTACGAGCGATGATTTCTAATCATATATTACACTTTTAATGATGTTTTGAATGCAATATAAAACTTCTCAATTTAGACCTTTATTTTTTATCCCCAATTACTTCTTTGTTAAAACTATAATACATTATAACATGGTTCACCGACCCGACTAATAATAATAATAATAATAATAATAATAATAATAACAATAATAACAATAATAATAATTAAAAACCAATTGTTCAGAGAACAATTGAAGGTCTTCCCACATCAATTTTCAAAGTTATTGAAAAGAAGCTAGTTCCTATTTACTCAAAGTTAAAATCGCATCCAATCATCAGTTTCTTCATACTGATGCGATGAATAAGTGGTTTCTATATACTTTTGAGAGAAATAAGAGAGATAATTTGCTACTTCCGGTGAAGTAAATGTCACTTCCGGTCTCATATGATAGCTTCTTTCACACTGATTCCAAAAATATATAGTTTCTATATACTTTTTCCTGTAAACCAGGAGATAATTGGCCACTTCCGGTTTATTGAAAGTCACTTCTAGTCTTTAGTGATAGGTTAATGTATTTAAATTACAAAATATATGGATTCCGAGTACTTTTTCATGAAGAAAGTTCAAAAATGCATACATCCGGTTTTCTTCAGGTCACTTCCGGTTGTCATTTTCAAGGTCATATGTCACTCAACCTTTTGTAAAAGGTCATATGGCTATATAATGAACCAAGTTGAAGTAATAATCAATTAACCTTATAATTAGACATTTCAGGGGCACTAACTCCTATAAGATGCCATTAGATTGTTTTAAACCAAATGTAACATATCTTCATTACAGTAAAGCACACATTTTGCACTTGTTCTTTCATATATATCTTTAAAAGTGTTGGAGAAAATACAAAAACAAGGAAAAGTCAAAATTGAGAACTTGACCTTGACCTTTGACCTTGACCTCATTTTCTAAGTTAGGACCTAAGGACCTCAAATAAAAAGATTCCATGGTTATACGGTTAACGGTTTATGAGTAAAAAAAACATACCGACAACTTTTATTTGGTAAAGGTAGATAACTCCTATAAAATTTCATCAAATCGCTTCGATCCATATTAGCCAACAATTTCTGAGGATGTAACGAACAATTTAGAAAAAGAATTTTGTCGAAATTTTTTTTTTTGTTACGAAGGAGATGCACACACTTGATAAACAGTGAATAGGGAGATAACTCTTACAAAGAAAATTGTTCGGCTTAGAATGTGTGAAAATAAAAAGCGCATAAACTGTATGATACTATATAAGAAGTATCTTAGAGACATATTGCGAAACAAAAATTTTACTCGAGAACAAAATTTGGCGGAAGAAAAAAATAATAATCAGAACAAATACAATTGGTCTTTCCACAGAAAAGTGGAAAGACCTAATAATAATTATAATAAATTCTTTATCTAACGATGGTAACTCATTTAACATACAAATATTAATCTCACACGAAGCCTTCGCACATAAAAATGAACAATACATATAACAATCAATGCATATAACACAATAATCAGTAGAGATGTAGCATGCAAAAAGACTGCTGAACTAGCATGGTAAGAATGTCCTAAGAAAAAAGTTTGTCTACTCATTTTGTTTTGTGATAAAAAGATTGACACATTTCACCTTAAATCTTTAATCTGTCTTGAATCCTTTATATCATTTGGCAAACTATTCCAAATAATTATGCAAGAATATTGAAAAGTCTTTTTGAAGTATTCCGACTTTGGCCTTGATTTATGAAGATGTCCAGGTGTTGTTGACCCAAGAGAATAACTAAAAAGATCACTGCACGCAGTAAATTTACTAGTAAGATAATATGGCGCCAGTCCATTCATACATTTAAACATTAAAATGGCTTAAAAATATTTTATCCGTGTAAAAATGGTCATCCAATTAAGTTCTTTAAACATTGATATTGATGGATAATCAAAATGCTTATTCAAAATTAATCTATTAATTAATAATGTTATATAGAGCGTATAATTAAGTTAATACTTGTAATTCGAAAAGCGAAGTAAATTTTTATTTCAATATGTCAAAAACTAGAGAGTTTTCAAGAAAAAAACGACAATTATTATATTTATCTATTGACTTTAAAAGGGTCATCATTTTGCGACTAAATTAAAAAAAAGTTGGAAATACAAATTTAGCAAGCCTCAAAGTGTCTTTTAGATGAAGAACATAAAAAAACACTGTTCCTTTGCTTTTTTTTTGGTATTGTCAATTGCATGTAGGGATTTTGTGTCGTGGATCAATACACCATGTTCCTTCTTTTCCAGTCGATATTTATTCAAATTTGAGGAATAATATACATGCAAATTGGGATTTGTTAGCTTTGTTTTATATCATATTATTGATTTGCTATGGGAGTAGTTTGGACCATATATTGTTAATTAATTTTGCCAGTTAAACATACGTATTTTCTTTAGATTCCAAGGAGAATGGAGACAGGGACTTTATTTTTATTAAGTTGTTTTCGTTCCAATCAAAATTGTCTTTAGAAAATAACTAAGGTTATTCATTAACTATTCTTCTTTTGGTTTATTTGAATTGCTGGTCTACTGACACATTCAAATATACATGTATCCTAAATATCTTGATCATATATAGAGAAAGAGAACTGCATCCGAGATTGCATTATGTAATGAACTAATTTTATCAATAAACTTATCATAGTTACCAGGATTAAGATTTTGTACACCAGACGCGCGTTTCGTCTACAAAAGACCCATCAGTGACGCTCGAATCAAAAAAGTTCAAAAGTCAATTTTACTGTCATCCTTTATTCATCGTTGGGCATTCCGCTCCCTTTTGAAAATACTAAACCGATTTTTTTAAACTTTAAACGAAATTTAATCCTTTGAAATTTTGTTTTTCGAAGAAAGACCATTACAATAAGCATATTTAGTGAGGCTTGTGGTACGCCAACATGCTGCTGCATGATAATTCTTCATTTTAAGAAGGTGTATCAAACTGTCACTAGTATTCATTTAACTATCGGACGGTAATGCTTGAATCAATGTTATTTATAAAACATGTATTTCCTAATTCTTTCCAAATATGGAAAATTTTCTGTTTTTAACAGATGTGTATCATTTATTTTGCACCAAAACTTTTCCCTAGTATTGCAACAATATTGTTTTTACATTTTTCCAGCAAGTCACGTGACATTTGCAGAAATACCACGTGACAAAAAATAAGACACATTTTCTTTAAATTTACTTTCCTAGAATATTCAATCGGTTATCTTCCATATGCGTCTAAAATGACCTTTGTATAAGATTTGGTGCTAATGCTCTGTTCAATTGAAGTGGGATAATGTCTATTTGATTTTTAAAGGTATAAAATGCCTCAAAAATGGAAACAACACTACAAATTCCATGAGACCGAAGCAAAGCCGAATATTTGAAAGCCATGAATGTATAAGAACCGAAACAGTTGAAGAGCTTTTTGCTCAAAAAAGACTTTAAAATAATAGTCATATCCGTCGAAGGTCAACTTTGCCCGTGGACGTTTAAACCTTAGTTTCTTGACAGAATATATTAAGCTTTGTTCAGTAGTTGTTACCTATCTTTACACATCTACAGCATATTGAATTGTCTGAAAAACTACTGAACAGTACTGAATTGACTACAAGCGAATTGTCTAAACAGTACTGAATGTACCGCGGTGGATAAGTCCGCATATTGACTGAAAGATTGAACATGACTTAATAATTTATTGGTCAGACTATTCAGATGATGTTAAGATCAAAATTACCGTTTCAGACTATAATTCATTCATCAATGACAATGCTAACATCATTTAAATTAGATCAATGAAAAAAAGGGTAACTAAAAAGACGTACAATGAAATCCAGTACAGTACAGGACTCAACTGTATAAGGTTGGCATAGCGGACAACAAAAGTAAAAATGATATAGCATTTAAAAAGCCTTCAGTTATATTGTACTTAAAACAAGTTCAAAGTACTTTATAATGACAATAACACCTGAAAAACTTGTTTAAACCTGAGATCACCCCCAGTTTTTGGTGGGTTTCGTGTTGCTCAGTCTTTAGTTTTCTATGTTGTGTTTTGTGTACCATTGTTTGTCTGTTGGTGTTTTTTTTTCTTTTTTAGCCATGGCGTTGTCAGTTTATTTTCGACTTCTGAGTTTGAATGTCCCTCTGGTATCTTTTGCCTCTCTTTTTTAACACCTGAGAAACTTGTTTAACCTTCATCAGAAACGCTCAAACTCAAACATGAAAGCCGATGGGGTAATGCGATAAGTACTTGAAAGCCGATGGGGTAATGCGATAAGTACTTGAAAGCCGATGGGGTAATGCGATAAGTACTTGAAAGCCGATGGGGTAATGCGATAAGTACTTGAAAGCCGATGGAGTAATGCGATAAGTACTTGAAAGCCGATGGGGTAATGCGATAAGTACTTGAAAGCCGATGGGGTAATGTGATTAGTACTTGAAAGCCGATGGGGTAATGTGATAAGTACTTGAAAGCCGATGGGGTAATGTAATAAGTACTTGAAAGCACGAGAAGCTATATGATCAAAATAAACATAAAAGAATAGCCAAATAAATGGCTAATATGAATCGATGCCACATTAAACTTAATATACGAGGCTGTAATTCGGGAAAAATATAGTACACAAAGTCATGAACAGTACGAATTTAATATACCAGACACAATAATGAACAAAATATTATCATAATCTTTATCAATAAGTCTAGTAAGTTAATTACAAATAAGATAGAAAAAAGAACACTTCACAAACTTCTTATCTTTATAAATGTCTTTACCGTAATGACCAGAATAAGGTTTCAGACCCTCCAAACTCTATCATAATTGCTTTCCGACAGAGTATACATTGTTCTTTTTTACAAATGCATGAAACACATGGAACATTTACGTGGTCATCTGTGGCACAAATATTCCATAACGGTATTCCAAACATGATGGTATCAGTAAAAGTTTCAAGGAGATATGACCACAACTTCATCATTTGGAACCCTTAGTTCGATAGCTTCATTGTTAGCAGAAACCATCTACCATGGAAATAATGTTAGGAAACGCATATCCTAATATATATCAACTTGGAGATATATAACACTTGATGGTATTCAAAATATGAAGCAGACTTAACTGTATCTGTGGTATCCGTCATTTGTATTTTAGAAACTATAAATTACATTTCAAAGGGATATAACACCTGTGAAAATTGATGTAAATTTCATAATCCTACAAAAAAGTTAGGTGCGCAAGTACCTACAATGCAATTGCAATTTCCTATATAATTTAAATTTCCAAGCGGTATTACTCCTTTAAAATAGTTGATCATCACTGATTTTTTCGAATTCGTCCGAGACGTATAAACCTTTGATATCTTTTTAAAAAATCTGGCAAGAATAGTACACATGAGATTTCATAAAGCATTTATTTTTCCTTGGGACATAACTCCAGTAAAAATAATTGTTAAGTGCTGATTATCAAACTCGTTCATAAACATTGCTGATATAAACCTTTGTTTTAAATTTTGTAACAATCATACAAGAAATGTAGACTTGAGAGCGCTTACAATGCAATTTTCCATACATAATGTTTATTAACAAGGTCATAACTCCTTTAAAAATAGTTGTTTGTTACTGATCTTCGAATTGAACGAACCATAGCTGATATAAACCTATGAGATACATGTCATAAAAATCGGTTACGAATTGTATTTATGAGAGGGCTTACAAGACTGGACAGACGGACGGACGCCTGATATTTCCATATCTATGGCATCGCGTTGCGAGTAAATATACATATGTTATTTTGGTAATGGTATTACTGTCTTTCTATAATAGGGATCGTTTCCGCACAATGACAAACGTGACTGGTGACAGCCTAGGTGCTGGAATTGTTTACTACTTGTCAAAGAACGAACTACCTCCTCTACACACAGAAGAACAGGAATACGAAATGCATGTTGCTTCCAACAAAAGAAAAAGTGTTCCAAATGGTACCGATGCGATGACAGCTGTTTAAGGCAACGAATTCGTTAATATTCCACTAAGTATTTGTTTTATGTAATTATGAAATAAGACATAACAATAAGTCATTTTATCGTTAATATTGCTTACAAAACATTGACATGCATGCTAAAATAAATGCTTCTTATCAGTTATAATTGGAAATATAACTGAGTCAAAGAAACAAGTGATAAGTAAAAATATTAAAAAGTACACGTTGTTCAGTGTTTATCATAATAACTTTATTTCCTGGTCATGGTGTATCAGTGAAAAAGACATTTTAGTTATAGAAAAAAAATATTTGTCCAATGTCTGTGTTGTATTATTTAAAAATTATTATTGCTAATATTGCTAATGTTTAATGCTTTAGTTGTATAACTAGTTATTCATTTCCTTTCTTATATCTAAATACATCAACTTTTATGGAACGTAAGATGAATAGACAGAAATATCTTTACTGTTAATACACATATCTTTTGATAAAAATTAAGTTATACATGCCTTCTACAACATGTGTCAGTCAGTATTTTATAGAAGATCATCTAATCAAAATATGTTTGTATCAAAACGAAAAGAAAACAACTTTATGTACCAGAAAGAGTTAGAGGGTACTATTATTTTGTATACTGTTGTTTGTCTTTTTGACTTTTTTATCGTGGCGTTGTCAGTTTATCATCGACTTATGAGTTTGAATATCTCTTTGGTATGTTCCGACTCTCTTATTAAAGTGGCGTGCATCACATCCCATGTTTCACTATTTGGTTCATCGATGACATAAAAATGTTAATATAGCTAATGATTTCCATCAGCAAGCAACTCGTTCAAGAAATCTATTAGACAGGACAATAGAAACATATATTGAGTAAATGATTTTTAGTTTATTTTGGTACAACAATAACATTAAGAAAAGTTAAATGTGTTGGCTAACACATGTCCATCCTAGGTAAGAAACAATAGGTAATACATCGGAATCTCATTTTGAATTGTTGATCTAAACTAACCGTTCCCAGGAACACTATGATGCACAACGATAAATCAATGATTTAAAAGTACTTTAAACAAGATGACCTTAGAAAACATATAATGTTGAAAGGGTCTGAATGTCTGTTTTCATTTACTTAAATGTGACTAAAACGAGGTTTTGCATAAGATGAATTTCAAGTTACTCAAATTGCTGTAGATATTAATCCTGCAAACGAACTTACCTCAATCTATTTGTGCAAACTATGTTGTACTTGTTGTTGTTTTTTTTCCATTTAGGGTTTGGGCCAGTCTTCAAAACTTTATTTAATTACCTCTCAATGAATTTAGCTGCTCATACATGAAGTTGTTTTACACATTAATTTTACTACAGAATACCACTGACACATCTCATTTATCCATAATTTTCAAATATACGTTTACAATAAGTATACAAACTGTAATGTTAAGACATAGTCAAGTGATTTTAAGCTCACCTGACCTAAAAGGCCAAGTGAGCTTTTCTCATCACTTGGCGTCCGGCGTGCGGCGTCCGGCGTCCGTCGTCCGTCGTCCGTCGTCGTTAACTTTTACAAAAATCTTCTCCTCTGAAACTACTGGACCAAATTTAACCAAACTTGGCCACAATCATCATTGGGGTATCTAGTTCAAAAAATGTGTCCAATGACCCGGCCCGCAAACCAAGATGGCCGCCATGGCTAAAAATAGAACATAGGGGTAAAATGTAGATTTTGGCTTATATCTCTGAAACCAAAGCATTTAGAGCAAATCTGACATGGGGTCAAATTATTTATCAGGTAAAGATCTATCTGCCCTGAAATTTTCAGACAAATCAGACAACCGATTGTTGGTTGGTGCCAATGAATTGGTAATTTTAAGAAAATTTTGCAGGTGTTGGTTATAATCTTCAATATTATTATAGATAGAGATAAACTGTAAACAGCAATAATGTTTAGCAAAGTAAGATCTACAAATAAGTCAACATGACAAAAATGGTCAATTGACCCCTTAAGGAGTTATTGCCCTTTATATTCAATTTTTAACAATTTTTTTGTAAATTTTTGTAATCTTTTACAAAAATCTTCTCCTCTGAAACTACTGAGACAAATTTAACCAAACTTGGGGTATATTGTTTAAAACCTGTGTCTGATGACCCCGCCTACCAAACAACATGGCCAACATGGCTAAAAATAGAACATAAGGGTAAAATGCAAGTTTTGTCTATTATTTTTTGAACCGTTATAAGTAGATAAAAACTGAAAGGAGCAAAAATGTTCAGAATAATGCGCTCTACCAATTGTCCATATACGTCAAAACTGTTAGACAAATTTTTAAAGGAGTTATTGCCCATAAATGACAAATTTTACCATTTTTTCATTTTTGCCTATTATCATGAAAACTATGATATTTAGAGAGAAACATTTTTTTTCCGTTATGCCTTATATGATTTAAATTATAATAGATAGATAAACACTTTAAATCACAAAAATGATCAGCAAGGCAAGAAATATTAAAAAGTCAGATTTTGCCGATATAGATAGTAGACTGTCACTCTTCATAGGAGTGATTGCCCTTAAATGAGATTTTTTTTACCCTCTTTTGTGTTTTGAGCAAAAACTAAAGAAAATAGAGAGAAACTAAACAGACTAAAAGATCAATAATACAAGATCAACAAAATAGAGATTTTTGTCATGAAGTCTATTCTCGTCTACAATGTTGGAGAGTGTCCTTTGTTTGATATGCACATACACCAAGGTGAGCGACACAGGCGTTTTAGAGCCTCTAGTTTAAACTTGCTCAGAAACTGAAAATAAGATAAATGTAATTGTGGTAAAACAATGTAGAACAACATTACAACTTTTGGAAAAGTTCTAATTATTGTTGATAAGATGTGCGCATACATGCAGACACAAGGATCATATTTCTAAAGTACTTTTTTAAAGGTTGTGACGTTTTGAATTCGCTTACATAAATGACACAAAAAAATCACTTTGTTATAACATGCAATAACATAATTTGATATGTGAATCACGTATATTGTAACACTGAGATGTTGTACATATTTATACACTCCAGACAATAATTTAAAATGTCTCTCTGCTGATAATGCTATTATTATTCAATATTGCAGAAATTTGTTTACGATTTATTATTAATATTTAAACATAAGCATATCAATTGCTGAAATTGCCCTCCACTTCTTGTTATTATTGATAATTATTGTACATAACAGGTTTTGTTTATTGTATATATATCGTTGTTGTTACATTGTGTTAGAAATGTCATCCCATCCAATATAATCTTAGACATATCAGTGACAATGAATATGCATAATAATTGAATGTATACAGGATTTGTAAGATTTACAAATAAATAATTGAATGTTTCTTTCTTGTTCTTAATAGTTAGGTAGATAAAGAGAAACCTCTTCAAAAAAAAAATAAGGAACGTATTGAAAAATGAAATCGACTACCATAGACGGTACCATAAGCATAATAAAACAACTTTTAAAATCTATACAAAAATGTATGTAACTTAATATTAATCCGAGTCGGCCCATATATAGAGTAAACAATAAGCATGATCTTTACTCCGCACCCCCACCCCCACCCCCTTCCCCCGTAAACGCTTGTAATAACACATGACGGTGATATAAAACGACGATATCAGTATTGGCATATTTGTTCAAGTCAAATTCGCATCTGGAAACGTTTCAAATTATACTGATTTAAAAAGTTTTGATAGTCGAATTTTCCAAGACTTGATTAAAAGTAAACCTTCAGTCAGATTCGAAGATGAAATTCGAAATATAAGTCTCATCAGTCTGTCGACAACAACGATATGACAGACGGGTTTTTCAAAACATAGATATAAGAAGATGTGGTATGAGTGCCAATGAGTCAACTCTCCATCCAAGTCAAAATTTATAAAAGTAAACCATTATAGGTCAAAGTACGGTCTTCAACACGGAGCCTTGGCTCACACCGAACAGTAAGCTATATAGGACCCCAAAAAAATTACTAGTGTAAATCCATTCAAACGGGAAAACCAACGGTCTAATCTATATAAAAAACGAGAAACGAGAAACACTTATGAACCACATCAACAAACGACAACTACTGAACATCAGATTCCTGACTTAGGACATGTGCAAACAAATGCAGCGGGTTTAAACGTTTTAATGGTACCAAACCTTCACCCTTTTTCTGAAACAATAGTGTAACATCACAACATAGAAAGACACACTATAAAATATCAACTGAAATAGCTTAACTCAATCAAAGGACATATTAACACCAGTGAACAAACACTGAAAAAATAAATTTGACCTATGCTACAATGTAAATACAAAATAAATAAACCACCACTCTGCAAATTCGGTGCATGCCTGTGCAAAAAAGACAGTTTACAAGAAGGGGAGAAGAATTTTTTTTCGCAATTGGAAATAAGTTCAAAGTCGACTGTATCACGATGAATTTCAGTGACATGGTTTAAGCATCGCTATTTTTATAATTTCACATTCTCACTTACAATGACAAATAAAGAGACATGATATATTTACTATTACTAGTACAAATTTATATGAAATACTATTTGTGATATGAACTAGAGTAATGAGTTAAATTTATATGTGTCTTTGAAAATGCTATAAGATGATCGCCGAATATGTTCGAGTTGGCAGACCATATATGAAAAGGAACAGTTCAAGATAAGCTGTTAATCCTTGAAATCAATTCTATTATACTATAGTAATGCTTCTATATGATGAAATAAGTCTGTAAACTGTATACATGTATATGATATCTAAACGCAGCGAAATCTACCAGACTGACGGTGCTCCGATGATTGTAGCCTTCGGTTAAATTTGTTACAGAACCGTAAATTGCTAAGATGATTTGGGGGAGCAAAATCTGCCAACTTGACAGTGCAGCCTCAATGATATACATTAATTAAACAGCTTTCAATAATGCTGTAGTTTCATTAAAACTATTCACAAAGATCATAAACATGCGCAATTATTGCTAACAACGAGTCGACTATGAAATATCACCGTTAAGAATTGTAATCTGGAAAAGTAATGCCACTCTTCCATTTCTTGGACTCCCTGGATTATTTTCAGAAAACATTTCGATTCTTATCTTGGTTAAATGCACCCTGTTTTTGGCTAGAAACTC